GCAGACATATGCATAATGTACTCAACATATTTGGTTGTACTAGTCAGAGTTGAATGTGCATTTAACGTTATTCTGAAATATTTTATAAATGTTGTAAAAGTAATATTTGATATCAACTTATTGGGAGGATTCGTCGAGTTTCAAACAAAATAAAGAAAATAAAATTTAGGACAGAAATTTAAGAGAAGAAATTCTTAAAACTCAACTTCTATGATTCAAATTTTTCGTGATGATGAAATACCACAAATAAACAACATTTTAATACTACATTTAATACATAAAATTAATTGCTAATATATGAATTTAAACACCCATTAATATTCTTAGATAGATGAATATAAATAAATTCATCTATAATAATTCTAAATTCATTTTTATTAAAATTCGTCAAGTCAAGATTCATTGAATTTAAATTAATGTGAATGTTAATTAATTGAGAATTAATAACACGAAATTTATATAACAAGGATTTTGTAATATTTATTATATGTTTAAAAAACGAAATAATTGAATTATAGTGGGGTTAAAACCGTTCAAAAAAACGATGCCGTAATATTTAATATTATACGTTGTACCATTATGCACGGTCTTTCCAATCACTAGAATAATGGTGATTTCTCCATTACAAATATATAATATTATTATTGACGAATCACAAATGAATCCATTACATGAAAAAATGTAAGAAATTTTAATTAATAGAAATACATGACCTCCAAGGAACTGTCCGTATCCATGTGGGATGACAAGATTGACGTAATTATGCATGTCCAATACTACTGAGAACAATGCTACACTTACAGTCCCCCTTCACAGTCCACTCACATGGAGGTGGGCCCCACCCACGTGTGAGATGACCGTGAAGGGGAACTGTACATTTAGCAAAATTGTATTACCAAATGCCGACATCATATGCATATAATCTAAAAGTATCATACTCAAGTCTCATGTGTGTGCTTAAATTGAGCTTGCTGATCCTATGGGTGGATGGCTCGTCTGGAAGTTCTTGCACCATGGGTGTTCCATAGTCCGTCTGTTTCAAACTTTAATTTAGAAATGACATTTCTAAAATTTATTGATAATAGGATAATAAATAAGGTGTACATATATTTACATCATTTTATATTTTTGGCAAAAATAGCACACTTATACTAAAATACTTCTTCACATTATATATACACACACAATTAATATCACTAAGGTAAACAAGGCTAGTGACCTATAATTAGCGGTGGTAAAAAAGCTCGGAGGCTCGGACGGCTCGGAAAAAGCCTGAACCGGGGCCCTCCACCGAGCCCCACTTTGGGGAGTCGGCTCAAGCCTGGGCTGGCCCATGGCCTAGGCGAGCCACCTAGTTAAAAAAAAAAAAAAAAAAAAAAAAAAAAATTTGAAGGCAGCTAAGAAAAAATAATCAAAAAATCAAAAAATTTGAGCCGGCTCGGCTCGACCTGCTAAGGCTAGGGCCAAAAGCTCGGGCCGAGACTCATTTTTTTTGGTCGGGCTCGACTCGGCTCGGCTCGGGCAAAAAAAAGCTCGAGATCGACTCGAGTTTTTTTTTTTCGGCTCGGGCTCGATTCGTTGACATCGCTACCTATAATGTAAACCAGAGTGTAACTCATGATGTAAATGCAACATGGTTGTTAATATAATTTCATGTAACATAAAACATTAGTATCAATTTGGCACATGTATAATCTAGTTTGATAATATTAATTGACAATTCACATTAGTATCATCACATTCATTCATTTCAAGAATTGTTTTTTAAATCATTGGCTCTAATTTTGACGACACTAACATTGTCAAGTATGATTGTACAAATAGTATAATTGATAAACGAAAGGAAAAGTTTGGACATGAAAAAAAATTTAAATACTAATAGTACACTACATTAGTCTAACCTCAAGCTATTTATTTTTCGCTTTAAATTAATATATGTACAAACAATTTTGAAAATGAAAAATTGATTTTTCAGTAACCCCGTTTACAAATTTTAGATTATGTTACATTCTGAAATAATTTTATAATAAATTTTATTTCAATTTTTATAAAATATAATGACAAATATGGACCCATGAGCGATTCGTTGACCAGTCTCATCAACAAGTGAGTCGATGAATAAGAACCAAGTCACTTTTTTCTACGACGAGACTTGTCCCATCAACAAGTGAGTCCACGTGGATGAATCAAGTCATTTTTTAATACTAGTGGGATGAACGTGTGTTGCACGTAGTTGGTTGGTTGGTTTTTAAAAATGAGAATATATGAATTTTCAAGAAATTTAGGTTTTTAAAAGTGAGAATATATGAATTTTCAAGAAATTTATATGTAAACGTGAAAGATATTCATAAACACATCAACAAAAGAGAATGTGTTGTTTATAAAGAATAAACGATTGAAGGAAGATATTCAAGAAATTTATATGTAAATGTGAAAGATATTCATAAACACATCAACAAAAGAGAATGTATTGTTTATAAAGAATAAACGATTGAAGGAAGAAGTAAAATAAATTAATGAATAAACACGGAAGCAATATATTAAATTTACAACATGAGCTCTTCGTTAAAAAGTGGTGAAAATGTTGAATTCTTTTGTTTTAAATCAAATATTATATAATTTGTTTGAGTTCATAGTTTTAAAATGTCAATAGCTAAAAAAGGAAAAAAAAAAAATTCTCCGTGCGCACAGAGGTTTTGTGTGCGCATGGAGACACCGCGTGTCTCCATAGACACGCCTAACATGGAGACACACAGCTGGATGGAGACACGGGATGTAGAGACCTGTGTCTCTCTAGGCGTCTCTGGATGGAGACACGATGCCGTGTCTCCATCCAGGCTCCAACCGTGTCTCCATACGTTCGTGCTGTTGGAGATTTTTTTATTTATTATTTTTTTAATAATAGTGAAGGCTAAAGATTTCTCATATGTAGGACAAGATTTTTAACTCAATCAACCCAATTGCTAGTTTAGGCCTAATTATACACTAATTTTCCATTTGGTTATTTTATCAAATATTTTAAATGCAACCTATTTTTTCTAAGATTTGAAGAGATTAAGTTTTAAATCAAGGCACAATGTTTGCACTTCATAAACACAATCAACTACTCCACAACCTAACTAAGCTCATACCCATTGAAAGCCATAAAATCCCTTCCCATTGTTATGTTATTGCTAGACTGAAAAAAAAAAATAAAAAATTCACGAGCTAATTATTTTCTTCAGCTCTCTATTAACCAAAAAACATAAGGAAAAAAAAAATACATTACAACATATACACAAGAAAATAGATTATAACAAATATACATGAAAACAATGATTCTGTTTCATACCCTTTCGTTGTCTTGTTTTAAGGCTTCTTTATTTCTGAATTTAATATCCAGGTAAGGATTTTGATTATCAGAGTTCCATAGCTGCACATAGCTCATCCAATTCATTTTATCTCGCCTCTACTTTTCGTCCAAAGCATCACTACTTTTCTTCAATGGTATAAATTATTCCAATATTGGCTCAATACTTGATTTTTTGCATTGCATTAACTCTCCCTCAATTATCGCAATTGCTGCAATGATAGTAATCAAAACCCAAAAATAAGCATTAACACTGTATTCGAACTACCAAATCCTCCTAAAATCTACTGTTAGACATTAACACTAAAGAATCAATATAAGTGAATGGCTATAATCCAAACATGTATTCCAACCGTCAAATCCTTTTAAAATCTATTGTTTGACATCAACTGTAAATGGAAAGACCGTGAGAAAATGGAGGAAAGGAAGGAGAGGGAAAATGGAGGAAGGGAATGAGAAGTTTGCCGTGAGGAAGAGGAGTGGGTGGTTACATGATATAATGGAGAAGGATGACGCTGAAAATTTGACTAATCTCAGGGTTTTTTTTTTTTTTAAAAGGGACTTTTTACGATAACGGGAAATTGCGACACGTGTAAGATTTACTTTGCCTCTTTTAGAGCATGTTTGGTAAAACTTAAAATTCAATTAAAATTAAAAATACCCCTGTTTGGCATCCATTCTCTTCCCATTCTCTTTCTCATTTTTTTTTCTCTTTCTTCATTTCAACCACACATTCTATCAATAAAATAATATTACACATAAACCCAAAAATTCTCATTACTTTTTAACCACACATTCTTCCATCAATCACTATTTCAAAATTTATTTACTAAGCCCCCGTTTGACACCCATTCTTTTCCCATTCTCTTTCTCATTTTTTTCTCTTTCTTCATTTCAACCACACATTCTATCAATAAAATAATATTACACATAAATCCAAAAAATTTTCTTACTTTTCAACCACACATTCTTTCCATCAATCACTATTTCAGAATTTATTCTTCACCAAAATGGGTGTCAAACACACCAATATAATGTTATTGTGTCCCACTCATCTAATAAAAATCAACAATAACGACTAATTTTTTAATTTTAATCCGATTTTAATCCCTACATTACATGCCCTTAGTGACAACGAGAGACAGTCAGCTCGTGTTATGGACTGAGTAAAGTGTTTTGTGTATTGGTTGTATGTATCTCATTCTTTCTTATCATCTACACTACCCTACCCTTGTGAGATGTGATTTGGCTACTCGTTTCTCTCAAAATCTTTTCAATTCTCCGAATCCTCTTTTTAGAGTAATCCGCAAGCAAGGAAAAAGAAAGAAACTTTTTTTAATCCCCATCTTTTTGTTGATGTTTTTCTTAATGTTAAGTATTGTTTTTTGTTGTAAATCATACGTTTATTGCGTCATTCTCTTCTTGTTTCGTATTGCTTTTCTTTGATTTGTAGCACTTTCTTCTGCTGATTGAATTTTTCTCTTCAGAGAATTTTATTTCAAACCTAATGAGATTAATGAGAAAAGAGAAAACACTGTTCTTGAATTTCAAGTTGGTTTGGTTTTGGGGTTTTAATTTCATAAGAAAATTCAGTATGTTGGCCATCCCAGCTTTGCAATAAGCATTGTATTTTGACCTTGAAAACTGGTAGATGGATAAGGGCAGGTCTCCAAATCATGGTAATGGAAGTTCACTGCCTCCGTTAGGAAGGTACTCTGTTTTTACACCACATGTTAGTGGTTATAATGGGAAATTTGAGCGATCTGGATCAACAAATTTGCCTCCATGAGGACCTAGTAGTTCGGCAGAGTTAGGTCATTCTCGCATGGGATGTCATCGGATTCGTGCAGATTTAGTCAGGATGTTAACAGAACGCCTGACGAATCATCTAAGAATTTGGGCAACTGACGTGCTTGCTTGGAGATATTTCCCTTCCCGATGATATTAGTTTTTTAGTGATCTAGGTGTTGTGGGTGGATTGGATGGACCCTTGTTTTCCGATGAGACCGAGGAGGACTTGCTCTCAATGTAACTTGATACGGATAACTTTAATTCTGTCTGCAACTTCATTCCAAATGGAAGAATCAATCAGACCTCAGATGCTCTTGCCGGATTCGGAAGAACCCTCTTCAGCCAAGCCTATGAAAGCCATATCTGCAGCTTAGCGTGCTCTCATTCTAAAGTGTGCAAAGAGGTGAGATTTCTAAGTCAGCCTATTAACATATTTCCTGGAGACTTTAAGCTTTGGTTTCTATTTTGACCTAGTAGTTAATTGATTGAATGATTACTTCCGTGTAGTACATTTGGGGCTTCCATAAATGAAATAGTGATGGAAATTCTGAATGTCTTTGTACTTGCACAGTATTTTGCATGCTGGAATCTAATTCTTCTTTCTTTTTCTTATATATTCCTCATTTTCAATGGAAGTTGTGAAGTGTTAGGTGGTAGATAATTGATACATTTCGTGATATTATAGTTCCTTCTTAATTGCACTGGTAGTTTTCTTCTTTTACCTTCCGACAGTGATATTTTTTATATGGTTAATTTACACATTTGTCCTTCTCGTTGAACTGCTTCTTCTCCGAAAATTGCACTTCCTTTTCTTTGATCCACTGTACGTGTCCGCTTTATTTATACAAGGAATTGCTTGTTTCTGCAATTTTTAGTGTTGCAGAAATTTTGTGTGCTAATATAATATGTTAGTGTGTGTATTTATAATTTGGGCTATTTTGCACAGACTATATATTGTGTTTCAATCAAATTTTGTTAGCAATAGAATTTCTGGTCTTCTATACATTGGACATAGGAATCCCTGCCATCTTATGAGTTGTTGGTTTAACTAAAATAATTTGGTATGATGTTGCAAACTTTCAATAATCAATTATCTGAATGGTTTAGCCGTTTAGCTGTAACTCGAGGTTTTCAATTATCCAAATGCTGCTTTCTTTCAGAAATTCATCCTACACAATTATAACCAGAAAACTCTGAATGTAGAATGATATGGTAAAGCACAAATGTCGAGTTAAGATATCATTAAGCAGAGGGACAGCATGGTACGAGCTGGATGTAAGAATATGAGAAATCTTAGAAGAACAGATACTAATACATACAAACATTAGAATAACTCAAGGTTCTTTCTATGCTTAGAATGTTGAAGTTCTTGAGTGCATATGTATAGGTTGCATTTCCCTTATTAGAAAGAAAAAAAAAAATCGAAGTGTGATTGAAGTCAATAAAAATAATGGTAAATGCTCTTAATAAGAATAGTAAATCTGACGATCTTCTCATAAATATGGCGAATCTTAAGAATATCACATGGGCATGTATTCTTCTGCAAAATGAATGAGGATGTAAGAATAAATTGAGGACGAGACGACTAACAATCGTAATACAATTTAAAATTCACCAAATCAACAAGTAGAAGAGAGAAAAATAAGAATGGGAGATAGAGGAAATCTTGTAATTTTGTTCAATATCAAATTTTAAGTAAAAACAGGTTAACCAAAGCTGATTTAAGTAGGAAACTTAAAGAAAGCTATTTTAAGTATGCAACTAAGCATGGAAATTAATCTAATTAATCCAAACTAGAATTTAAGATATCCTAATTAATTGAATTCCTTTTACTGACGTATAGACTTCAAATGCTACATCCTTCTGTTGAAAAGAATCAACTCCGGCAATTTATACTCCTGATAGTCATCCAATAATTTCGAATTCAGTTGGCGAAATTCCGCTTTAGTAATTCAAGTGGATTGCTAGGAGGACGATTTCTGGATGAAGGCTTGGTTTGGGAATGAGCTTGGGTGGTGGCTACTCTGAAGCATTGTTTTAAAGAATGGCTTAGCTCATTCAATTAATAAAGAAACTTGATAAATTGGGTAGCACTCTGGGTTAATTGAATTAATCGAACTGGCCTGCAAGTGGCATGGTCAAAACCTTGTCAAATTCGTGGTTTTGTAGTTAATCGGTGATCGGGCAAGCGATCCACCCTCAGCCTGGTTTAATAAACAAATGCTGGAGGTTAAGGGTAGAGACTTGATCCTTTTACCTTTAAGATGAAAAGGAAGCTCTTAGCCACTAAGCCATATAATATTATTGATAATCTCACCTAGTGAATTATATAATTATAGTTTCGTATCTACATACAACTACTTCCTAAGAAATATTGGTTTTCAAATATTTTAATAAATATTCAATCACCCATCGGTTCAACCCGTAATCCACCAATCTAACTATTGGCCCGGTGACCTGATGCTTTGGCTGTTTTGATAGTTGGGACGGGTTTGAAAACTATGAGTCAAAATACCTTTTTGCGTGCGTGTAGTTGGTTAGAGAAATTCTTCAAGCTCTAACAATGGCAGTTTACACTAACTAAAGTGTTAACTAAGTTTAAACAAACCTAATTTAAGTAGGTAACTAACTAAGCAAATAAACTTAATTTGAACAAAAATTGAAATTAAAGAAATCCTCATTAATTTTATTTCTTTTACACTTCATGGAGACTTTAAATGCTGCATCAGGATGTCTGTCAGAAAAGGAAATGTATGTAGCCAATAGTTCTAGCCGACTAATATAAGAAGTAGCTAGACTTTATTGAAAAAGTTAAGTTCCTTTACATTTTGCATTAGCATGAGTGCATCTTTCTGTTACAAGCTATGTGAGGGAAGTGTTGAATGTTTTTCTGATAGAAGAATTAAGTACTATTTTTGGACAAAATTATGTGCATATGAGATACATTACATAGAATGTCCGAGGGTTGTGAGCACCTAGAGATGGCAACATCTCATAAATAGAACTTCTAACTGCTTATAGGTATTCTTTTTGTGGAATGGGTGGGAAAAAAATTTGTGTCCTAATGTGGAAGGAAGATAATGCCATAATGGTGTTATCCATCTATAGCTACTGCTTGTTTGTTCATACGTGTGACATTTTCTTTTAAGATCATCACATTAGGAAACCTCTTAGATGTTGTTTCCTCATTGAACTGCGTCGTTATGCCTTAATGGACTTGAATAATTGGCATAGATTTGATTTTGCATTTCTCGCGGATTTATAAATAAAGGTTCACATTTAGTAAGATAAAAACTTTATGTACTTGATAATGATTGTTTAGCTATCATGTGTAATAATAGGTAGTTTCAAGTTTGATTCTATATTTTAATTCATAGGTTGATGAATATAGATGTCCGATATCTATCTATCTATCTACATATCTATTACGACGACATATTTTTAGTTTCCCCTTAACTAAAGGTGGGCATCTTGACGGCGAAACCTCATGCGCAAACCAACCTGTGTTCTAGAAAGTAAAATAAAAAATTCATTCAACCTAATAAGTAATAACATACAACTCTCTCTCTCTCTCTCTCTCTCACTCACACACACACACACACACACTCTCGCACAGACACACATCGATTCATTCCCCTCTGTTGCTAGTTTTTACCAAAAAATCTCTCTCACCTTTCTAATGGTGCCACCCACCGCCTCCCCCGCTCTCCGTCGGGTGACCTTGGCACGTCGCAGTCGCAATCACACCGCACGTTTTTCTCTCCTGCGCAAATCGTTTAAGCTTTCATGGTAATTTCTTAACTTTTGTATTTTAATTTTAGGGATAATTTCTGAATTTTAGGTTTTCTAATTTATGGATTTTAGTTTTAGTTTCTGAACTCATGTATTTTAGTTTATATTTTATACAATTAGATTTAATTTCTGAACTTTAATTTATATAATTTCATAGTTATATTACGTCTTTTTTTTCTTTTACCCATCTAGATTTTCTCTTCATTCTTTCTTTTACTTTTACCATATTTGCTAAATCGATTGTGCTTTTAACAAGCTGAATTTCCCTTTTTCCCTTTTTTTTTTGGCTGAATTGCTGACAAGGAGGCTTAAAACAAAATCCACTCTAATTTGGGCCCAATTGCAACCGATTTAAGCAATCAGAACTGACCCAAGTTTTTCCCATTTCACTTAAGAGTCAGTTAGGGTCAGGTCAGTTTGAAATATTAAAGCCGAAATGCTTAATGAGTGCATATACTACAAAGCATCATATTGATTATGTGCTGCATATTTTGTTTGTTTCACAATAGAAGTAAATAAAGTGTTGCTTCCTCTGTCCCACAGTAATTGTCACAGTTCACATTTGTAATTGAAAATACTAAATGAAACAGCATAAAAAGTCAAAGTCAACTTGTTCCTGGAAAGTTGACTGTAATTTCACCAGTGACGGGTGATGTGGGAATGTGGGCATGTTTATCGCTTTTTTAATCTCTTTGGGCTGGAAAACTAACGGCCTGGGACTTCATGAAGCCACTTTCTCAACTGTTTTTCCATTTGTTTGCTGCTCTTCATATTCTTCTAATGTAAATATTCTGTAAGCTCTCTCTTTTCTTTCTTTTTTCCCTTCATTTTGGAAACTAATTCTCTGCCTACATACATATGCACTGGGAATAGGTATTAAAGAGTCATTTGTTGCTGGTGTAAAATGTGGTGCTCTAAGGGGTGAGCATCATTAGATCACAATCTAACATTTATAGACACTAGAATTTGAGATGATGGATCTGTTTTCTCTAATTAATGTAAGATTTTAATGGAGTTCAAATTAGCTGCAAGTGAAATAAAGAAAGTAGCCTGCCTTAGGTGTAAAATTTGCTGTAGGAAAGTTTTCTCGAATGAGTTTTTTGTAATCAAGTCAAGAAACAAGCTCGCCACCAGATGCTAACCGATCAGAGCTTATTGCTAGAGATGACTTGCCGACTTGGTTAGAGGAATCTGTGGGAGAAGGTTTTTGAATGAGGCTATGGTCGATTAGAGTGAACAGTGGAGGATCCCCTTGGCTATGTCCCTGTTTAGGGAGGGCCTACCCTGCCGGACTGGGCAGAAATGCCCAGCCCATGTGCTAACACCTATTAACCCAAAGCCCTAAGCCCATTGAAAAATGCCCAAAAGCCCACAAATCAAACCTTTATTTCCCCCAAATTTCTGCAGACAGACCAGAGTCACACTCCAATTTCCCTTCATCAATTTTTCCTTCTATGTTAGCAGCCTCTTTAATCAAATTCCTTCTATTTCTGTTTCTGACCCCAGTCCACACATAACATAATTCCTTTGCGGAAAATTTACACACATTTCCCAATTCACTCAATTTTTTTATTGTCTAGGTTTCTCAAATAAACTCCCTTTTGGTTTCTTGTTAAAATTCAGGAATTTTTCTCTTCTTATACTTTTAAGATTGACCCAAGAATTTTGAAGTATAGATGTCACTTTTTCTTGTATGTTGTGAGAAAAATATTTTGTGCGTTTTTTTAAGTAGTATTTGTAAGTTACTTGTGTCTCCATTTTAATTTTAATCTCAGTTTCAACAATCCCGTTTCATTTCATTAGAATCTGTGATAACAGAAGACTGTTTTCTTGTATAAATGATATGGGCAGTGGGCTTATTTTGGTAGAAGCTATTGTATAGAGTAATAGGTGTAACAGAATGTTAATTTATTTTTCAAACTTTGACAAATAAGACAGATTAGTGCAATTGTGATGGACTATTAGTAAGTTTATGTCCAGTCGGTTCAGTTGAGTTAATTCGTGTTAGTGCATTACATTGGTGGTAAAATTTATTAGAATTGTATTACATTGGGTATTACATTGTCGGTTCAATTGCATAGCATTAGCGCACATAAGCAATGCCCTCACTAGAATAATTTCCTGGCAGTCCCTGAGAGTGGAGCCAAGGAGCTAAGTTATGGAAGCTAAAGAGTCTAAGGACATGATAAAGCTAAGTGGTGAATGTGAATAGGCTTAAAATGAGTGCTGCATAGAAACCTAGTTAACCCAACTGTTTGTTGCCAAAACATGATTGACGCAGTTTTTTTTCCCAACTGGGTTACACTTGGGTGAAACGTCTCTGTAAATAATATGGAATAATTCTAAAACATGGTCAATAAAAAGTTTGATTTTACCATTTGTATCATTTTGTATCTATTATGGCTTGCAAAGACAATCATATATATTTCTATAAATAATAACACGTGACGTATTATTTTATCATTTTATTAGGTAAAAATTACTACTTGTACTATCTATAACTTATTTTTCATGATATTTTTCATAATATATATAATTTGAAAGAATTATTTTATACAAAAAATACATGGTTTTTTCATATTTTATTATTTATAATATTTACATACTATATATTTTATGAAAATATTCGTGTGAATCGTAGTAATAAAAAATATTTTATTGTAAATATGTGGTGCAACTTATAACTAATCTGTTGAAAAATGACCTGATGACCAGCTACTTAGCTGAGCATATGGCTAGACAGGGTCTATTAACTATGTGCCATCCTGAACTTGCAATAAAATCATAGAAGAATAATGTTCAATTTTTAATTGGTACTGACTAATCTCCACTCAATTGTACTGCTACTTGCTTTTGCTTTTCTCTCTCTGGCTGTTCGCATGTCTTTTGGCTATTTTAGCATTTGTTCGTTTCTTGCTTAGAGCTTTGTTGCAAGAATGATAGTAGCTTGTGAATCTTTTTTGTTATCTCAAGTTTGTATCTTTGGGTTAAATAGGCAATCAGCCACAAGGTCAATCAAAAGGAAGATGAGGTATATAGCTAAGCTTGAAAGAAAAATCCAGGCTTCACAAACAGAAGAAGTGTTCTTGTCTGCACTGTTGCCCCTGTTGCAGGTGATGTCGACAATTCTTGTGTAAAAACCTGATAAAGATAATAAGAAAATGAAATGAAAATCACCTCCTCCAGTTTGGATTTACTCCAGTGGTGAGCAGTTGTTTTTCAGTGGATAGTCACTTGATGTTTTGTATTATAAACACAATAATACAGCATAAGGGAAAAGATGTATTTTATAGGTCATAGTGCTTGGTCATAAGGACTGATTTTTCTACTTTCCCTTGCTTTCCCCCCTTCTTTCAATTTACTATTTTGTACCTATACTTACATATACAAGAATGATATTATGTACTGATCTATTCTTTGCTTCTCCCTAACAGAGGGATACAGATGACCTTACTGCTCAAAACAGTGAACTCGAGTGGCAGTTGCAAACATTGGAACTACAAGTGCACTTAACAGATGGTAAGAGTCCACCCTTAGCTACCTTTGTATGAAGGTTTTGGTCCCATTCTTTCCATCTTTACCACTTTTTGGCCTATCAAAAAAATAAAGAAAAAAAGAAAAGAAAAATTGAAAGTAAATGATGCAGTCTTGAGATGACATCGTCCTCAGAGTATAGAACTAGACTGTTTCAACTTTCACGCGTTGAATATATAGAACTCATTTGTAACATTTTAAAATTATCCCTAAAAGTAGATAAGCCTATGCGTGTTGGTGACACCTACTGCAGCTTTCTAACTGTGCTGCAGGTAAAAAACTGTGTTTTTTCGAATATCCTGTGGCTAACCTATAAACACGCGGACACGATTTTATACTAGGCCAACTTACTAAATGGTAGATTTAGCCCGTGTTTGAGCCCCATTTATCAAAAATTCATTTTTTCAAAACTCATTTTCAACTACACATTCTCCAATAAATAATTTTACAAATAAATCGATAACATTTTTTTATTTTTTAACCACACATTCTCTAAGAAACACTATTCCAAAATACATTTCTTCCCGAAGATGAGGCTCAAACAAGGGCTTAGATTATTTACTGGTGAATCATCTTTCTCGAAGTGATATTGAAATCATTCAATAGGTGAACGGTTTATAGTTTGCCGCATTCAATGCAACAGTATTCACTTCTTAGCCTATCTCTGGAACTTTCATGCTTTTTTTGTTCAGTAGACTCAAGAAAGTGCTAAATATTTTCTACTCTTTCTTTTCTTTTTTTCCCCTAAAAACACAGCACTGAATGAAGCACTACAGGAAGAGATCCGACGTGCTAGAATGCAGATAGGTCAGACAATTGCAAATGGTGGACCTATAACAAATTTTCCTGCGTCTTATGGAGGTATCCAGGAAGATTATCCTACCAGCAATGTTATGAATATAGCTGTTCAACAATTTCAACAGCTCCAGATACATTCTCAGAATCAGGAGCAACGATCTTCCATGCAGCCACAGGCTCAAGCCAGAGACATGAATCTAAGTTCTGTGCCATCTCCCATCCAAGGACACAATGCTTCTCCAGGCACATCATCGGAGGATTAGAATTTGGAACCTGTAGATGCATCGGCTGTTGGATGGTTATTATTAGGTCCAGAATCTTGCTGGTTGTAGTTTAGCTTGCTTTGAGCTTTTGGTTAGTATGTTTATGTACATCAAACATAACATGGCTCCCTGTGCATTCTATTGACTTTTAGTTTATTATTTATCCCAGAATCGTCCTCTTTGAGGATTGTTTTTCCTAGTATGAAAAACCATTTACAATTTTCTTTACATACTTGGGTAATGTTTTGCATTGTTCAGACATTTTGCCTCGTGTTTTCCTCAGTTGCTTTCGTAATCCTAGATCCTCAACTAACTAATATAATCCATGGCCACGCAGACAACAATATAAACGTGCTTTTAGTTTTGTAATCTATTCAATTATTGTCGAGTCTAGTTTACTCAGCATTCTCGATGAAAGAAACAAAACAAAACTTGACCAATCTTACAAGTGAAGATCAACTCGACTCCAATACAATCCCAGTCTAACAGTTGCATCAACATTAATTTTCGAGCTACTATAGGAGGTATTGCTATTTCCCAGTCCCCTCTATGATCTTCGCTTTTGCCCTTATAATTTTTTATTTGTCAATAATACACTTCTTAATTACATTTGTTTATATTAATAACATTAGCTTGGTTTTGTAGCATTACTACTCTTAACTATTAAAATAGATAGAAAATTGAAACAAAAATGTATAAAATAAAATTACTTTTGATGAGACTAAATTGTCAAAAGTAAATATTTTCACAATAACACTTTTAACAAATATTTGCTGAAGCAATTATACTACAGATTTTCAATTTATTTTAATTCATGTAATGATATTTGCAATTTGATTGATAACATATTTTTGGGCAATGTATCATTTGCTTTGAACCTTTGAATCCCTTAAAGGACTTTCATTTGTATGTCACTATCAAGTAAAACATAAAAATAGGTAGTTTCTATATCTGTAAGGCGCTTGTCGAGTCTTTATGATATAATCAAACAAATTAAAAATTTAAATGTAAGTGTCTATAGTGTTCGGTACAAGAGAATATGTTTTCTTGTAATCGATTACAGGTTTTTGTAAGAAAATTTTTTGTTATAAATCGGGTTTTGTATCTTGTAATTTCATTGTTCACATTCTTCTTCTTTACAAAAACCCACTTGTATCCCACGTGAATTACATTTTTTGGAATTTGATCTACAGGTCGTTACATTTGTGTTTCTCTAAACTTCTTTCAATTTGACCAATCATTTCAAATTCAGTGTCCTCATTTTATATAATATTAAGAGTCACGTTAAAGGCAAAAGATATTGTTTATAACAATATTATTTTGTTTTCATAATTTATGAGATAATGAATAAGAGAGCTGCTATTTTTTTTATATAGAAAAAGTGGTGCCAAAATTCATACAGATAACGCTTGACAATTTTCTATTGGACGATGGCAAAAACAAAAGAAAAAAAGACCAAACGGATGCTGCCATCTGTAAAAATTCTGGCAACCATTTTCTGTACCAGGGAAATTGCTGAATAAATAATTTGGAGAATCATTATACGAACTCTCACACAATCACGCAGGTTAATTTGAGTGGGTAGGGTAGGGGGTAAGGAGGTTACGTCCCCTTGGAGTGTAGACAGATTAACAGTTAGTAGATCCTTGCACGAAATTTTTCGACGAAAAATCGATTTAGATACGAAAATTGAGAAATTTCGGAGCTCCTTTTCAGTTTATTTTAGACATTTGGTGGATTAATCTTTTCCTTAGATTTTGGACTGATTATCCATTATTCAGACTTCCAAGTGGAGTGATTTATGATCTACTTAATTTTTCAAACTATAATCAACTATTTCTGTATTAAATACATGCTTTAATTTTTGGCTATCGAACTATGTAATTCTATTTAAGTTGAATTCCAAATTGGCGGTGGTGGTAACATGATTTGTTACTTCCAAGTAACATACTACGTTGCTAGACAAAATTTAGATTACGAATGAAAATAGCAGACCATAGAATTGATAATGTGATGATTGTTAAGAGAAAAGAAGAGTATAATGTCTCTGATCAGAGAAATATGAACTGTGGTGGTGTTGAGAGGTGACGGTGGTGGTATAAGGCAGAGCTGATGGTGGAAAATAGTGTCGAACGGAAGACCAATCATCAAGAGGAAAATATTTGGATAATAATCTTTGCAATTCAATAAACTAAACTTCAACAAAATGCACACAGCCATGTTATGTTTGATGTACATAAGCATACTAACTAAAAGCACAAAACCAACAAGATTCTGGACCTAGTAATAACCATCCAACAGCCAGTTCATCTACCGGTTCCAGATTCTAATCCTCTGATGATGCGCCTGAAGTAGCATTGTCTTCTTGAATGGGAGATGGAACATAACCTCTTAGATTCGAGTCTCTGGCTTGAGCCTGTGGCTGCATTGAAGATCGTTGCTGCTGATTCGGAGAATGTATATCGAGCTGTTGAAATTGTTGAACCGCTAACAATGTATCCATGTCATCATTGTCAGGAAAATGTTGCTGGTTGGCTCCATAAGATGCAGGAAGCTTCATCGTAGGTGTTGGGTTAAGTCCACTTTAATGTGGGCTTATCAAAGCCCAAGACAATCAAATAAAGCCCAAAACAAAACAAAACATAATTGTGCATAAGTGGAGGTGTGTTTAGGCGGTTATAGACACACAAACACATTCAAGCTGAAAACCGACAGAAGAAAACAGAGAAGCAAAACAGGGGAGAAGAGAAAAGGATAGGAAGAGAGGTTGCTTGTAAGATTCAACGGTGGATCCTTCTCTGATCTTTCTCAAATTTCAGTATATCATTGTCGACAACTCAAGCTACGTATCTACCGGTTTGGATCGTCGATTCCCTTCTTGTACTGTTTCATCTGTCGAGAGTTCCAAACCTTTAGTTTGATGTATATTTGTTTAAATCCACTTTTGTGTGAAGCTTGTGATTTTTGGATGTACCTCTAGTATTATCTAGAGAGAAACTTGTGTAACCCATTATTTTATAGTGGAGGTTTGAGTGTGGGTGGTTTACTGTCACCTCGTGGTTTTT